GGTTATAAGAGTACTTCCTATAGCCCTGCAGGCATTTCCTTTGTGAGAGTGGTCAGGAGGCTTGTTTCTGGTGCTGTCATCACTAACTAACATGATCTTTGACAAGTAAAGTCACCACTCTGGACTTACTTTGCTGTTGAGTATCATATTACTGAATTGCTGCTATGAGGAAACAAGACAGATAAACACTGAAACCCTGCCCCCTTGGAACATGAAAATTGTAACAACCCCATATAGGATGCAATAAATAGTTTGCCAGGATCACTGCAAATAGCAAGTAATAGATATGACTCTCTCATGGCCTCATTTGGTCTCTATTTGGTTCCCCATCTCGTACTCGTTTCTCCTGTTTAAAAAGATCTGATTGCATCTAGTTTGATCATTTCACAACACACACAAATTTATACAATGTTGTCAAGTGTATCTTAGCTGCAGGGTTGTGGGGTGTGGAGAGGGCAAGTACTCAGTTGGAGTAGGGAGTGCCATGATATGCAGACAGTTGCTGTTCCTAGAAGAGTGGCACTAAGTCACTTCATGATGCTTGCACTGTAGTAAACTTGCACATTCCTGGAGATGCTGTCTCTTTTTTCATGTAGGCATGGCAATGACCAACGAGTGTTCCGCCTAGAATTTGTCTCAAACCAAGAATTCACTGAAAGCGAATTCATGAAGTGGAAAGAAGCTGTAAGTGGATAACAACCGGCAATTCATAAAAATGCTGAGTCTCTTTTCAAAATCTCTTTTATTACTTTTTATCATGTTTTGGGGCCTCCCTAGTGGTACAAGGAATTAAGATAGCACTATGAAGCAATCTACAGCCACTGCAGTGCAAGATCAGCCAAGGAGCTGACCCACATGGCGCCGCAGACCTCTCCTGTCTCCCCTGCTGCTCCCCTCAGCAGTGTTATTTTCAGTAGATCCACCTGTTCTGCTTCCCACTTTCTCTGGTGAATCCGCTCAACCTCTCCTGCACCTCTGGCCTATACCCCAGCTCTTGTATGCATAAATAAATCAGTCTATTTTAAAAACAAATAATCTTTTATCATGTTTTGATCCAGATGTTCTCTGCTGGCATGCAGCTGCCTACCCTAGATGAAATCAATAAGAAAGAATTATCTATTAAAGAAGCTCTTAATTATAAATTCAATGACCAGGATATTGAAGAGGTAAGAACCCTGGGACCTCGGAGCCTGGAAATTCCTCAAGAACCATATTTGCAGAAGATCATGACTTTCTTTTCTTGCCTTCTATCTTGACATTTATAGCTCTACTATCATTACATGAGGGTGAGGGAATACTAACACATTCTGCTTTATTCTCTGTAGCTCATCAGGGTTTTTTCAATGCTTTCTCCTTTGAAGTCATAGACTAAAGAAGTATATTCAAAGTTCAGGGATCTGTATTCTGCTAGGCTTGGTCCTTCAAGAGTTTTCTTTCTCCAAAAACATTTTGGTAAAATTTTTTGATGTCTGTTCTCTTGGACAGTGGCTAGCCTTACAGTACCAGGCCCTTGGGCTGCTGTTTATTGGTGCATGTTCCTTCAGACTGTCCCAGAAGAATCTCCGTGACCCTGGAAGCAGCATAGTATCCCTTGGAATGAACTCGCTCTCTCTGGGACATGACACTGCTATAGGAAGAGCAGCCCCCTTTTAAATATCTGCTTGCCTCCAAAATGGGCTCATTTAGCCTATCTGCAAAAATAGTTTAGGAATACCTCACTGCTGGTATCTCCTCTCTGGTACAGATTGTAAAAGAGAAAGAAAGGTTCAGAAAAGCTCCACCCAACTATGCTATGAAGAAGACTCAGCTGCTAAAGGAAAAGGTGAGGACCTGCACTTGACCCTTACCTCATTCTAGAAGGAGATGATCAAACTTGTTTATCCTTTGCCCAGTTAGCAGGAGGAGTTGCTGGACTTGAGTGTAGGCAGCACAGTATTTTCTTGGTACCAGGGCAGCATTCCTTATCCATTTTCCTTTCTGTAATTTGAAACTGATTTTGCTTATTCTATTCCCCTTAATCTGGTCACTTTAGTTTCATGTGTAACACGATAACCCGGACTAGTTTCAGCACTGGGTCGATATAGCTGTGGTTGGGTGGTTTCCATTCTTCACGTCCAATAGAATGCTAGTGTTAGCCAAGTGGGACCTGGTTTCCAAAGTTAATGTTACACATCACTGCTACCAGGGACCTAGAAGCAGCTAGCTATATGGCAAAAGGTATTACTACTTTAATAAAAATTTCGTAGATTTATATATTTGTGAAATTTTTTTTTTAGTGTTCTTTCCCACCTCGTGTCATCTGTTCATCCCATAAGATAGTTTACCTGTGTTGCAAGTAAGGGGATCCTTGATACAGAACCACTCATAACCCAAAACTCACACTTGCCTCTGTGTGCAGGCCATGGCCGAGGACCAGGGAGATCAAGACAAGGCCAAGCAAATCCAAGACCAGCTGAATGAGCTGGAGGAGCGGGCAGAGGCATTGGACCGCCAGCGGACCAAGAACATATCTGCTATCAGGTGTGTTACTGAACCTGCTTGGTTGAGCTGCTGTCCTTGGCCCAAAGGCCGTGTCAGAGTTACCGGGCAGGCCTGTGGCCTTGAACACGCTGTGCTGCATTAGCCCAACATATCTCCAGGGTCAGGCTCTCTGGCTCCCTCCCTCCTTTCACAGCCCACTGACTCATTCCTTCCTTACTCCACAGTTATATCAACCAACGGAACCGGGAATGGAACATTGTGGAGTCTGAGAAGGCCCTTGTGGTTAGTAAAGATTTTATGTGTATAATTGAAAGCAGCTCTGATAAATAAATGATAATGAAATCTCTGTGTCTTGTTCATGCTTTGCTTTTGTTTTTTAGTTATTGAAGTAACATATATACTTAACATACTCTTTCCGTGTACACACCTAGCCCAATATAGTTTGATTTATAAGGAAAAGCAACCTTCTTCTGCCCTGTCTTACCCCTCCCCATCTCAGAATCCACCCCAGAGGTTTTCATATTTCGTTTTATCAGTTTCCAGTTTTGTTCTTTGGTTGTTGTCCGTGTGTCCTTCATGTTCTTGAGGGAGGAAATGACAGCTTTTGACATTTTTCAGGCCGTTGCAGACACTGTTACTTAGTCGTGAGCTAGTCCTGACTAGGGCACAGGTGATGGTGGGGTGGTAGAGTTCTATAATGTAAGCTCTCTGTTTCAGGCTGAAAGTCACAACATGAAAAACCAGCAGATGGATCCCTTTACTAGGCGACAGTGCAAACCTACCATCGTTTCTAATGTGAGTGCCTAAAGAGGACGTTTTTAGTCGGGACCTAGATTCTGGGACAGAAAATGAATTCCACTAGGAGATTAATAAAGAGGTTAAAAATAATATTGCCTTTGTGGGATTTGCTTGCCTCAAACTCTTGGGTCTGGATACTTCCTTTTTTATCTTGCTGTAGGACGTACAGGTAGTGAAAACCTGGCATGGATTTGTGGAAACCTAGGATTAAGCCCCCTGTCCTGGGGTAGATTTCCGGTGCAGCAGATGCCTAGCTCTGCCTTGAGTGGGGTGTGCTTGGCTGCAGAACTTTTAATTGCCTCTTTCTGCTGCTATTGAGTTGCTGATAGTTCCCCAACTTACGTTAGTGGTTGTAGGTGGAAAAGAATCTGGTAGTGTCTCACTGATTACTTATTGATGATAAGAGATCTGATATTCTGTCTACTCCAGATACTACTAGAATTGAAATACGGAAGTGTGGTTCTTGAATTCAGTTCTTTTCTGATTTTTAGTTATATGTATAATATAGAAATAAACCTTAGCTTATTTTTAGTTTATTGACCTTAAAAAAAGGCTTCTTTGTTCTTGCAGGTACGGATGCTCATGGGTTAGAAGGTTAAATGAACTTTTGATTTTAATGAATTGTTATATAGATTCAAAGAAAAAGGAATCTGGTAGTGACTGCTGAACAATCTTCAAAATAACTTTTCTTTCTCAGTCCAGAGACCCAGCTGTTCAAGCTGCCATCTTGGCCCAGCTGAATGCAAAATATGGTTCTGGAGTATTACCAGATGCGCCAAAGGAAATGAGCAAGGCAAGTGTGACCTATGGAACTCTGCTGCTTACCTGCACACGCAGCAAACCCCAGTCTGGTCTGGGCTTGATTTTTGCCTGCTGGACGAAAATGAGGTCCTTTCTCCATCCCAGTTGTTTACTTTTTTTTTCCTACCAATTGTTTACAATTTTAACAAACAACTGTGAATAGGTTGTCTGTCTATTCTAAGCCCAACACTGCTACTGAACTACGGCCTTGACTTTGGCTTTAGACAACTGATATCTAACCCTCTACTCCATATTTTCTCATATGTAAAATGGGGAGAATAGCAAATACCCTACTTATTTCACAGGACAAGTAAGAGGACCACATGACATGTAAGGATAGATAGATATAAAAATGTGAAAGTGCTTTGAAAACTAAAATGTTAAACTCGTAGAAACCACCGGTTTTGTTTTTTCTTTAATATTTATTTATTTATGCATACAAAAATTGGGGAACAGACCATAGGTGTGGGGGAGGTCAGAAGATTCACCAGAGACAAAGTGGGGAGCAGAACAGGCAGAATGACTGAAATATACTGCTGAGGGGAGCAGCAAGTAGGTCAGAAGAGCTCTGTCAGAAGAGCTCTGTCTGTTATATATATATATAATAGTTTATTTTCACATCGTTTTGTGCCTTTTACCATCTCAGTTGTAATCCTCGTGGGCTTCCCATCACCAAATCACCTTGTGCCATCACCATAGTCCAGTGCACTTCCCTCCCCCCACAGTTTTTGATCCCATTCCCCACTCCATCCCCATAAAATGTCTCTGGTATATAACTGTTTTTATTATTATTGTTAATTTTAATTAATATTATCATCATTGTCATCATCATCATCATTATTATTGTTGTTGTTGTTGTTTTCTTGCCTAGTCCTTTATACTCCTGCTATGAGTGAAACCATCTGGTATTTTTCCTTTTCTTTCTGGCTTATTTCACTAAGCATGATCCCTTCCAGCTCCATGTTGCTGCAAAGGGAATGTGTTTTTTTTTTTTTTTTTTGGTTGCTGAGTAATATTCCATTGTGTATATGTACCACATCTTTTTAACCCAGCCATCCACTTTTGGGCATTTGGGCTGTTTCCATGTCTTTCCAGTTGTAAACAAAGCAGCAATAGACATGGGGGTGCAGGTGTCTTTTTTTGAATCAGTGTTTTTGTGTCTTTTGAGTAGATGCCAAGGAGTGGGATTGCTGGGTCATATGGAAACTCCATGTTTAGCAGTTTGAGGAACCTCCAAACAGTTTTCCATAGTGGTTGTACTAGTTTGCATTCCCACCAGCAGTGCAGGAGAGTTCCTTTTTTCCACATCCTTGCCAACATTTGTTGTTGCTAGTTGTTTGAAGATGTGCCATTCTCACTGGGGTGAGGTGGTATCTCATTGTGGTTTTAATTTGCATCTCCCTTATTACAAGCGATGTTGAACATTTTTTCATATGCTTGTTGGCATCATAGTGCTGTACTTTCATCCCTTGCACCACTAGGGAGGGCCCAGAAGCTGCTAATTTTAAAGCAGTTTTTAAAAAAGAAAACAAAAAACAGTTTTTTTCTTCTTAAGTTAGATCTTTTCCTTTGGAGCCCAAGCTGTACCAGGAATTCCTGAAATCTTGCATCAAAAAGTAGTTTTTTATCTTAAGCTCACCCTTTACCCCTCACACCACAGCATGAACCTTCCTTCTCTTTGCTTTTAGGCTTCGAAAAGAAACCTCTTTGTCTCTGACCTCTGCTGCGCTCCCTCTGAGAGAAGGAGTTGGAAGAGAGCCTTAATAGGAAGATAACATGAATTTTGAGCAAAAGAGCTTATCATTAGTGACTGCTGCTGTTTAAAATTCGCTTGCATTTATCTCTTAATAATGAGATTCCTCTTCACATTGCAGGGTCAGGGAAAGGACAAAGATTTGAATTCTAAGTCAGCCAGTGACCTCTCAGAAGACTTGTTCAAAGTACATGATTTTGATGTGAAGATTGATTTACAAGTTCCCAGCTCAGGTAGGTAACTATGGGGATGGTGATGGCCCAGAATCAGATCACTCCATGAATCACTTAGCCAGCAAGAAGGCCTGATTTTAGGGAAGAAATAGGGATACTTGCTCATCAGTACTTACAATGGCAGAATAAGAGAGCCGCAGGTGTATTGAGAGAGAACAGTCAGGAAGGCTAAAGATGTGCTTTACCTCTAGGAATAAAGCATAAGAATTAAAACACATTTGTAGGTACTTCAAATGCCAATTTGTTCTTCTTTCCCATAGAGTCAAAGGCTTTGGCCATCACCTCCAAGGCTCCACCAGCCAAGGATGGGGCTCCAAGGAGATCTCTGAACTTGGAAGACTACAAAAAACGGCGGGGGCTTATTTGAGAACACCCAGCCTGCTGCTTCTGACCCTGCATGCCCCATCACAGTGCCCACCTTTCCTCTTTTCCTTTGATTTGCCCTCTTCGGGCTGGAGCAGCAGTAGAACTGGGAAGAGACTCACAACTGCCAGTCATCTGTAATATAAACCATTTACTGTATAGACCTCCCTTGTCTGCACATCCACCAACCCCAGGCAGGGTCTGCCCAGAGTGGACCTAGGCTCTTGGGTTTTATCCATGTCTTTAGATTTGTGTTTGCCTTTTTTTCCCCCCAAACCAGCACAGTTCATTGGCCACTCTGCACGCATTCAGTATTACCATGGAGCTGGGATTCTTGCTGGAGCCCCTGGTGGCAATAGCAGCAGCACTGGGCAAACTCCTCTATGGACTGCCTTGCACCCAACCATTGAACATTTGACACCTGACCTTTGTGGAGGGAGTGGGGACTGGGCACCTGCAGTCCTCCTCCCTCTCTCCTCATTTTTCTCTTCTTCCCATCTCTGTGGAAGAGAGGTTTTCAAAACCAATTTAGTTTCCCAAAAGTGTACATTTATGGGGAGGGAGGGGGGGTCTATTGAGAGAGAGCGTGCGCGTGTGTGTGTTGTGTGTGTGTGTCTATGTGTGGATTTTTTTATCATTTTTTTAAAATGCAGTACTCTTTGTATCTAACAGTCTGTCATGGGTCTAGCTGTTTCAGATTTTTTTCAGCTGTACTTGAGCATCTGAAACTGCAAGAAAGAAACTCATTAAATGTGATTCTTCTTACTAAACAGGCCTGACTGCTGTAGCTGTGTAACTTCCCCTTCCCAACACCTCCCCAACACCTCACCTTGGAGAAAACTCCCCAGTTTGGCCTTTGCCCCGGTAGGCAAGGGAGGAAAGCCCACGGCCAGGTACCAGGGAAGGCAGTGCAGGTGTCTCGCTGTCCCATGGGGACCAGGGCCCTAAGCTTCCAGCTGAACGCAGAGTGTACCTTTTCCCTATCCTATATACTTGTTTTTTCCTAGTGATTCTGTTTTGTTGCTTCAGCAAGAATACTGTTTTGTTCTTAAGAGAAAGTATTCAACGTGAATGTGGAGAGAACGAACACAAAAGATAGGTTGCAGATGTTATAAGCATGTGCAGTTTTGTGTGTGTGTGTATGTGTGTGTGTGTGTATATATATGGTAAGCATATATATTGTCGTGCAGCTAGGGTGAAACCAGCAAAGAAGTGCGTATGTCTTTATGAAATGTTTAAAAAGAGATAAGCGGACTGCTTGATAATCATTCTCAGGTGTAAAGCTCCAAGTGTAAATAAAAGTGGCATTTAACAAATCTTTTCAGAACAAAGTACAGCTGACTATATATATCAAGAACTGAGGTAAAGAAACAGCTGAGAGCTGCTAATTCCCAAAAGAGGGAGAGAAATCTGAATACTTTGCTTTGTACTTCACCCTACTTTTCTGTAAGGAAGGGGGAAGATGGGAATCATGGAGTTAAGTTGTATTTAAACATAAAAATGAAGGTGGTAACTCTTCTGGGTTTAGTAGAACCTCAGTGTTGCTTTAACTTAGTTTACACTTTTTTATTTAAAAATAAAGCAGCAATGGATGGTTTTTTAAAAGTATTGTGATTGTAAAATTGATAAATATGACTGTAACACAGCTATGCAGTAGCTGTGACACAGTTCAGTTGGGCAAAGGAGTGGTGATGGACTTGTTAAATCATACATACTTGAATAGTCCATTAACCAAACTCTTTATAGATTATTATGTAAATGTGGAATCACAGATTGTTAAACATTGTCTGGACTCTGGCAGAGTCCCGGAGGCTGCTGGGACCTCTCCTATCATGACGAACTTGGACTTTTTTTCTTTATTGTTTTAAAAGACATGAAATTATAGAATCCATATAATTTGCTGGAATCATTCTGGTCCACCATGTAGATCTGTATTTAGTATCATTTGGATTTGGAGAAGTGTCGATTACATTATGGCTGTGTAATAAAATTTTTATTAAAACTGCATCACACTGTAGCACTTTGCCACTACGTCCCCACATGTAACTGCTAAAAATTTCCGTCTGAGATGACAAGCACAGCAGAGAGAAAGCCAACCAAAGAAAACCTTAAAGTTAACCTGAGTAGCCTACTTGATGACAGGCATCAACACTGAGGACTTGACCCTAGTGTCAACTGAGGCAGGGCCACTGAACTCATCTTGTCCAGGATTGAGACATTCATGGCTTGTGTCCCACCAGCTGGAACCTTCTGCTGGTTAGCGTCATTTCTTGTACTGAGGAATTGCTGCAGCAGCCCCTGCTCTATCCAGTCTTGCTCCCCACCCCCATGGTTTCAGGATTGAAGGGCAAAGTGCCTAAACCTGTTTTACACTTCCAAGAACCAGAAAAGGCCATTGTCCACATGCCTAGTTCACCATCTAAGTCTGTCTTGCTTCTGACAGGTGCAGGGAAAGTATTGCCTGTAACTTCCCTCAAAAAGATGCTTTTGTTTCTGTGAAATCCTGACTTATCACTCAAACTATACAGCTATTTGTAAATAAACCTCACGCTCTGTTTTAACCAGGAGATCAGATTTAGTCCAAGGGTTGCATCAGAAGTGGCAGTTCTCAGTCATGTTTTGAAAGTCCAAGAGAACCTCTGGTTTCATTTCTCTCTTTCCCCTTTTCTTGATCCCAAAGTAAAAGTGGCTGTTTGCAACCCTTCTGCCTAGATCCCCAAAAACCTCCATGAAAGGGTAGTTGTCTAGAGCGAGGGCAACTTAAAACTGACCTGGTTTACTTCCTACCTTAGAAAATACAATTATGTTTTAATGAAACTAGGTAGCCCCTGATACACAGCCCAACTCTAGTGAGAGTTTGGTCCTCCCAGCAGTTAGTTGGCGAAGGGCCAACTCTTCTGTGGCCCTGTTTTCTACCTATTTTAAGTATGAGTATGCCCCTTAACTGGGAAGATCTGTAAGAGTTCCCCAACCCCGCTACATGTGACTGTCTCAGAGCTTTCTGACCATGTTTTAGTTAGGAAGCCAGATCTCAGGCCTTAAGTGGGAAGTAACAATCAAAATGGAAGGAACCTAGTTCAAGGCTGCCTCTGAGGTTGCAACTGTGATCGGCGAGGTTTTCTCTAGCTCCCTATCACTTGCTACCTGACCATTGGGAGCAAGAAGTTCCTGAATCCTAGAGAGTACAGTTTCTGAGCAGAGGACAGTCTGGCCCTTTTTATTCACCGGCACCCAGGTGCTAAGGAACAGCTACTTGCCACCTTGCTCTAGGAAGCATAGGAGCTAACCGCCCTGGGTGTGTGGGGGTGCAGTGTCTGTTAAAATGATGGTGGGGTGGGGGGTTCATTGGGTAATCCTTGGTAATCAACAGTAACCAGGAACAGCAAGGCTAAGAGATGGTCCTTTATAAGGTTCCCCCTGCCAGCCCCAGTCCCAGTTGTGATGAACTAAACCTGTAAGAATTTCTGTTCTTGGCCCTACTTAGCAGCTTAGCCACAGCAGCAGGGGCACATGTAGCACTTCCACACAGTGCTTTAGACCAGGGACAGACAAAATCCACAGGCACCCCAGGTTTAGTATGGGGGTTCACATCCCAGCTATAGCCACTTACTATTTAAGGCTGAAGTAGTTCATTTATCTGAGTGATAACTTCTCCATATATTTTTTAAAGATTTATTTATGCACACCAGAACTAGGGTTACAGGCCAGAGGTGCAGGGGGTTGAGAGGATCCACCAGTGGGAAGCAGAACAGGCAGATGTACTGAAATACACTGCTGGGGGGAGCAGCAGGCTGGTCAGCTGGTCAGAAGTCTGCTGTGCTGAGTCAGCTCCCTCACCAGGGATCGAACTCACACTACAGTGGCTGTGGATAGCTTCGTAGTGCTGCACTTTAACCCACTGTGCCATAAGGGAGGGCCCTGTTCCCCATATTTTAAATGAGATGTATGAGAGTCATGTTAAAAGTGTTTCATTGCGCAGTAAAGAAGCAGGTATATACTATTATTAGTGAGAGCAGAGAGGCCCCTGGGAGGAGCGACTGTAGAGGCCAGTGCCAGGGATTTGGATATGGGATGAAAGGGGGATGTAGCTGCAAAACAGCCTGAGTGTGGAGCAAAGGGCGTAAGCAGAAACTGTAGCCCTTGGCCCAGAGATTCCTGGCTGCCCCCACTTGCAGTTGGGAGCGTGAGGCGTTCCCTGGCAAGAAATTCTGCCTCCAGGATAATGTTTAGGGGGAACCACCCAGAAAATGAGAGCCACTATTCCCTCCAGGCCCCAAACAGACAAGCAGCCCTTTGAGAATCTGTCTTGGGAGTCATTTCTGTTCCCAGCCCTCAGTGGATCTGAAAGCTGCCACCTGTGCCCTGCTATAGCAGGATCAGAAAGTGTGTGACCTGACCTCCCCTATCATCAACAGCAGCAATTAAAAAACAAAAAACTACCAAAACCGAAAAATAGGTGTAAAGAAGTCCAACAACGTGCTAATCGTTCCTACAGTGACCACCTTGATGCCTCCTTCAAAATATTCTTTTCCCCATCATTTAGCTCTCCATGACCCTGAATTGCTAAGTGCATGTGGAGGTCTCTTCCTGCTCAGCCACACACATGTTCACCGCCCCTAGAATGCTCTGGTCTGTCTTCCTCTACTTCCCTGCCCAGCCCACCCACCCACCCCCCAACTTCTCCCATCTTCGGCACTCAGCTGAAGGCACCTCCTCCTTCCCACTCGAGTTTGGGAGCCCCTCCAGCCGGTTTCCCCAGGCGTGGCATTCACCACGATGTTCTGCTATTATTTGTGAGTCCACCCCCAGCCTTGAACATATGTCCTCGAAATTTCCCTACCCCCAGCACCTAGCGCCCACCTAATATTTAAATGCCCGGTCAGCGCGGAGAAGAGAAGCGTTGTGGGGTGAGGGAAGCAGGTGTCCAGCCTAAGACGCTGTGTCTTGGGGGACTCGACCCTTCCTCTCCCCTCCCATTCTATCCCCAGACAGCCACGCGTACTCAAGAATGAGACCCTGCGGCTAGGGCACAGCGCGCGCGCGCGGCAAGAAAAGTGTCTGCGCCGGTCTGCGGCGGCCTCGACGGCCCTGAAGAACCGATCGTTTCGTCTCTGTTCTCTCAGTCCAGGCAAGGAGCTTTGGAGGCCCAGCGGCCCGCCAGGACGCAGTCGGCTGCCGCACGAGCGCGCGAGCTTCTTCAAGCCAAACCCGCGGGGTTCGCGCCGGTCCCCCGGCCTTGCTAATTGGAAACTGGGGGCTCAGCTTTCCGGCGCGCTCTAGGATAGGTGCTTTTCCGCCTCTAACACCCAGGCGGAGCAAGCACTGGTTCCCAGACCCCAAATTGCTCGAAGCTTCCAGCGACTTCTGCCTCTGACCATCACCGGATGGTCTGTGGGCTCTGCCGCCAGCGCTCAGGCTGGCAGGCAGGGAAATCACCCACGAAACTAAGGGCTGCGCCTACTTCTCTCAGCTGTTACAAGACTGGGGGTGTCGGTCGGGGTGCGGATTAGCTGTCGGCACCCGGAAGGTTCTTAGAGCATACCTGAAGCCCCGCCCCCACCTCAGCCGTCGGCTCTGCCTGTACTTGGCCACTGGGAGAGAGCTGTAGGTTCCGAGTCTGGGGAAAAGGAGGAGGGAGACCCACCGGAACGCAGGCTCCTGGGAGGGAAGAAGGGAAGAAAGCCTTGTTTCTGAAATGTGTCAGGAGAGAAAACGTTCCCCTTGCGCCCGCACAGGGTGGTGACACATTTTGTTCGTTTTAGGTAAGACTGATGCAGAGGGTGGGGAGTCAGTGAACACTGCTAGTTCTCTAGTCCAGCTAAATGATTGCAGCGTCCAGCCCCAGAAGAGTCCCAATCATGGTTCTCAGATGGCATGGAGGTGAGAAACCTCCATGGGAAAAGAGTGTGGTAAGGAAAAGGTGAAGGCAGCCATTCACTCCTCATCCCAGGAGGAAGGAAACCTCCAATTCTTTTTTTCTTTTTTCTTTTTTTTAAGATTTACTTATTTATGCATACATAGCTGGGGTACAGGCCAGAGATGCAGTGGTGGTGAGAGGATTCACTAGACACAGAGTAGGGAGCAGAACAGATGGAATGAGGAAGTACACTGCTGAGGGGAGCAGCAGTCAGGAGAGGTCTGCCATGCCATGTGTCACCTCAGGGGCAGGGATCGAACTCATGCGGAAGTGGCTTTAGCCTGCTTTAGCTGTGCTGTGTTTTAACCTGCTGTGCCACCAGGGAGAGGCTGGAAACCTCCAATTCTTACCCATTCTCAAATTCCACTGGACCCTGGGTCTGGCCAGCTTTCCACTGGCACCTCTGAGCAGAGAAGGGCTTTAGGCAGCTTAGGGAATGTGTGGATACAGGAAGCTGCCGAAAGGCCAAGGTTCCCTTGATCACTGTCACTGACAGTCTCTTGGAAACAAGTAAATGCAGTCATTTTTGCATCCTGGGGCCTGTTTTCTGGTTGGGTCCTTTCTCCTTCATCCCCTTTCTCCAGAAGACGGTGCAAATGATGCACCAACACTTCCAGCGAAGAAGGAGTTCATAGGCACTCTTTGTTCCTCTATCCTTGTTATCTAGCACAATGCCTGCTTCATAGCATCTGCTCAAAGGAAGTTTGTTTGTTCGGTGAGTGAGTGAATGAATCACTGATATTGTCACAGAAGATTGGCCTCTTGGGGCCAGAAAGTCCCTTGGAGAACACCAAGCTCCATACAGTATATCTACAACTTGTGACTAGAAGAACCACCTAACCACCTTGCCTAGAGGAAAATTGGTCACTGTCCCCTACCCCCAACCCCAACATACACACACCCTAGAAAGACTCTGTTCTCTCTGGAGAGGGTTTCAAGTCCCCTCAAATCAATTGGTACCCCGTTCAGGAGCACAAATCAAAGGCTATGCTCCATCCTCTCTCCCCTTAGTGAAAGGCCCTATTTGTGAGTCTTGGGAAACCTCCCTGGGATCACTGGTGCTGCCCAAGAGGCAAGGTGGGGGGGAGAGCTAAATGAGGCCACCCCAGAAACCTTACTTTCACATGCCTTTTTCTAGGCCCTCCCCTTTTCCAGATACTGTGCCCCAAGGTTTTAACCTCTTAAGAGGGATGTAGCCCTGGGCCCTCCCTGGTGGCACAATGGATTAAAGTGGAGCACTATGAAGTTTGCCTGGTTAAAGCACAGCCCCTTCAGCACAAGTTTGATCCCCTGCCAGGAAGGTGACCACAAGGCACAGCAGACCTCCCCTGTCTTACCTGCTGCTCCCCTCTTCAGTGTACTTCATCAGTCTACCTGTTCTGCTCCCCACTCTGTCTCTGGTGAATCCT